AAAATTGTGTGCAGAGAAAAAATTCCTTAGGATGAAATCTTACTAAAATATGTTTTCAAAAATAGTTATCGGCAGGAAGTTATTCACTGTTTGCTAGGAGTTGTGCTGAACTTCTGCTGAACTTGAAGGTCAGTTTTTCTGCAAGAACTGCTTGAGAGCATTGAATCTTCAGAGCTTGAACGATTGAATGCCATAGACTTACAGTATGTCTTGTGTACACTGCACTTCATTCTGTTGCTTATATATATAGCTTTCGATTTCTGTATTTAATAAAATAGGAGTTTCTAACTAAAAATGCCAGGGACCCATGTTGTTTAGATAATGGCCATTTATAGACTTTGTCAACTCTTAAGTATTTATTTTCAACAACTTGATTTATGCTAAGTTGAAGGAACTCTGCGCAACAGGGATGTGGCTTATATATCAATTATGTTTAGACTGTCGTATCTTATTTAGATGGGAGAATAATGCTTTGAATGCTATTTGTAGAGATGAGATTTTGTTTAGAAATAGACAACTGATGTCATACGGAAACTGGATTTTTCTTCTCCTTGGTGGAGTGCCAAAGAGGGCTTACACCAGTGCAGTGGCTGTTGCAGAACAGGACTTTTTTTGGTAGTCTGAATTGAATATAATGAATATTCAGTTATGATTTTTTTTTAAACTATATATTTAAGGCTGTCACTTGATTAGTAAATGGACTAGTACTAACACTGTGTTTTATTCATGCTATTCTCTTGGTGATTTTTTAATAATTTTTTCCCCCAATGTAGATATTGTAGCATTATGCTCTTCAGTTTATCTTTATATTTGTTAAAGTGTTAGCAGCAAGAGGTTTGACTTGATCAGGCTTTTCAAGTTTAGTGAAAGCCAAACTACCTGATGAAATAGCTACTTGCCAATAAGCTTCCAGTTTAATAGGGGTTCCTCAGCAGTAATTATTAGTTGGCTTGTGAGATTTCGCCCTCCAACATCCCCTTGATGCCCCCTACTCTGCCTCCCCCCCCAGTTGTCTGCAATTTTGTCTTTCTCCTGCTGTATAGGGAAGGATCTTTCCAGTTCATTATCTCCATTGACTCCATTTCTACGGCAAGACAGTGTTCTTCAAGTACCTTGCTCTTCTTGACTTACCTTTTAACGTTTATGGACACTGATTATGCTGATACAGTTTGTTAGAGTATGAAGTTGTTGTTTTAACAGTAGTTGAATTCACCTTTCAGTGGCTCTGAACAAGTTGTGTTCCCACATTTTACATGTTGTGGTTTTCTATTCCCAAGTGCAGTTTAATGATGTGTCTCAAGTTGAGAAGTACCATTTAAAATGGCAAATAAGAGACTAAAGTTAGGGGAGAAAGGTTTCATACAGTGCCAAAACCTGTTAATAATTGTTTTAAAATCTAAATTTCATTTGTTCCACAAATAACCACTACTGTGTTAATTTCTTCTTAAAATCCAGTGTTAAATGTTTTGGGGTAAATTTTACTTCAAGAAGGTGGTGTTCATTTTTTATGAATGTTATCAGTTCAGCTTTTATTGTACAAGGTGTACTTCTGCCAATAAGTAATGAACAGCTTTTGTCATGGATGCTTGCCCAACTGCTGAAAACTTCCTGTGAACATTTACACAGCATTGGGAATGCATGTTGCCAGTCCCCTCATCCTGTGTTTCATGTCTGTGTCTTCCCCTCCTCCTACTTTTCTGATTTGTTGTGCATTCTTTAGTGCATATATATAATGCATATACATTTTTGTGTATATTATTTTACTATATTTATCTGCTTTTTCACTTAAACATTTTAGCACAGGCATGTGTCAATATAGATCTTTTTTACAGTAAGTAAAAAAAGTTTAAGGAATAGTCTAGTAAATGTTTAGTTTAAGATAGTTTAAAAAATAAAATTGCGTGAGAGACTTGTATACCCAAGTTAAAGCGGTTAACTACTCTTTAGGAAAAGAAATATAGACATACTACAACAAAATACCTATTTTAAATTTATTCTTTAAACCTGCAGCAAAAGTTGAAAAACTGTCTAAAATGCAAACATTACATAGCGATGCTAATAGATGGAAAAACAATTTATTCAGGTAATACAAAAACTATTAAAGAAGTATTTCTTTACAAATGCATATATATGAGTGATTTTTTACTGACCAGTGATACTTTTACTAGTAACACTGAGACTGACTAAAGCCTAATCCAAATACAAGCTTTAGTTTAAAAAAAAAAAAAAAAAAAAATTCTTGGACATTATGCTGTGGAAAAGTTAATGTCAGAGTTATATGTTGAAAACTGCAGAAAAGACAAAACAGCTCTGTAAGTACTGATCTGAGGATTCATGGTATGTACTTTTCTGTTGATGTAATAAAAACAGAGGTTTCTTACCAGTTTCCAAAAATCTTTTAGTTTAAAAACTTTCTTTTTGCTTTCTCATTTCTCATTGTTAATGTTTCATATTTAATTTTTGGAACCTATAATGAATTAAAATTATTTAGAAAGCTTAAGTATGAAAGGCATTGGAAATCTAGTTTCAGTATCACTGTAATTCTTTTATTCTTTGCAAGTCTGTTTGTAATACATGGTTAAGCCTGTCACACTTTACAACGTTTTCCTTTAGTATTTTGTAGAGATTTAAACTGAGAACTAGGGAAGACTATTGTGTAATGAGCCTCAGATGAAAAATAAAAGTACTTTTTCATAAACTTTAGCTGTCTTGCTTTGAGGAAAAAGTGCTATATTGTATAATTTTGAATAGGTGAAATCTGGGTACCTGGAAGCCCCAGTCTCAACATGTTTTCCAAAATGATACAGGTTAGAACCTTGTGTAGACTAAGGATGGACTCAGTCCTAGTTCAGTGTGTATTTTTGAAATGTTACTCTTCTGTGTTCCATCAAAGTTCATCCTTCTGTGCAGCAGACCAAAATAAAATACATACTGTTGCATGGATTTGACCACTTCTAGCATTGTCAATTGGAGATACTGCTAGCTGAATAATTTTTAAAAAGCTTAGTCCTGGAATTACTTTTTTTTTTGGGGGGGGGAGGGAGGAAGTTAAGATATGATCTGACTCTAAGGCAGACTATTTTTAACTAAGAGAGTATCTTGAATTTTAGATTTAGCTAAATCTGAAGATAGATAGTGGAAGGTAAAAACATTCAAATTAAAATGAAGATGTTTAGCTGTTAGAAAAGCTATAAGGATGTGATGGAAACGGTTCCTGATAGATAGATTGATCCTTTTCCATCAGCTCTTGTAGTAGAAAGTATGGAGAATGACCTTACTCTTGAAAAAGTAAAAACTATCTTCATAGGTTTGGCCAGAGACAAATTTGCCAATTTTCCTAATAGCATTGAAAAGGTAGTTAAATGTCATACTGGGTTTGGCTTTTCACATCCAAATCTGGAGTGTGGATGTTATGACTTGTAAAAATAAGATTCCATTTCATTATGTGTTTTTAATCTTGAGTATATTGACTTGGTTTAGGCAAACTGAATTAAGAACTTGAATTCTTGATTATGATTTAAGCATACCATTAGCAAAACTTTCTGTGCTCAAGTTGGTCATAAATGAAGGCAATATTTTTATGCAGGGAATCAGATTGGGTGTAAATGATTTTCCTGGCACAAATTCAGAATTATTTTCTGTAGTTACAGCTGAGTGATAATTCAGGACTTTGTTATTCTCTTCCCTCTGGAAATCGCAGCCATCAACTTTCTTACAAAGACAAGACTTTTGGAGGATTTAACATATATTGTTTCTACTCTTTTAGTGAACAAATAAAAGCAGTCTTGTTCATAATTCATTTTTTTAAATCCTCTTTGGTATAAGCCCTCAACCCATGAATTTGAACCCTAATAATTACAAATATTTTTCTGCTAGTTACAATTTGTGTGGTTTTTGGAAATATTAAGTAGCTATTGAACTGCTCTTCTAACATGAAATCAGAGGTCGAATAGCTCACACACTGGCTTGTATGTTTTATAGCCAGAAGTAGAAAAAAGGAAATCTTAACATTTAGTTCTCTCATATCTAAATGCATTCTGATTTCTAGCATTGATTGATTAATATTTATGTGTCTTATGACAGCATTGTTCTTTAGCTCTTGACTCTTTGTGATGTTTGCTTCACTGATGTATTTGTAGTGGTTGTATGACCTTTTAACTAAAGTAAATTTTTTTTTTTCTGGCCTTCTTTCCAAACCAAGACTATTTCCATCCAACTAGCTAGCTCTTTATTGCAAGAAGAAGGAATTCAAGCTGGAATTTTGCTGGAATTCTGTACAAGAATTCTGCACAATATTCTGAATAGTGTCTTTCTGGTGCTTTGTGCAATGATATCAATGCTTCCCTGCTTCTGCTAGGAAAATCTTGTCTTTCTTTTTTTCTCCCCAGTTTATTTTTCCTTTTTTATGGATAAGCCCGTAGTTCATAATGGACATTTTTGTACTTGGTCCTTAAATTCTGAGGTTGTGGATTTCATCAGACTCTTGTGATGTCAGTCCTCTGGGTCATCCCCTTTCTCCAGTGCGATCTTTCTCAGCATTAATAATACTTCCTGTCTCGCTTTGATAGTTTCCTACTTTTTGTGTCTGGTTCCTTAGTGCAAACAATCCTTAAAACTTTCCTTTAGGAGCTCTTCTAGTAACTGTTCACCACCATTTTTCTTTTCAAAAAAAAATTCTAGGTAACTTCTCACTGGGTTTTTTATGTACTTTAGAGTTCTTATGCAAGCTCGTCTGAGTCATAATTAATATTCTTATGTGATATTATATGAGATACTTCATTGAAAGTGAGATGAAAAGGATTTGCTGTGGTTTTTGTCTTTTTTAGAAAATGAGTTATCACAGAGGGCTATTTGAGTTAGCCTTGAACAGTCCACCTTTCATGAAACTACATAACATTTGTCTATTCAGAATTTGTTCTGAACCCTTGAATTTTATTTAGATCAAAGAAAGAGATGGCTTACTTGAAAATTATTTCATATTTATAATTAAAAGCATTTTAAATAAAGCCATAATAATATCAGTAAACCTTTCAAATAGAGTCTGAATGTGTCTTTCAGCCAATGGTAATGACAACAAGAAATTCAAAGGTGACGATAAAATGGATGGGGCTCCTTCTCGTGTTCTTCATATCAGGAAATTACCTGGGGAAGTGACAGAAACTGAAGTTATTGCTTTAGGTTTACCATTTGGTAAAGTAACCAACATCCTGATGCTGAAAGGGAAAAATCAGGTAATTCATTACTTTCAATTTTTTTGTATGTTTACTGTCCAATTTCAAAATATGCTGTTAAAGTACTATTGAAATGTCATAGAACAGTAAGTATTTAAAAAAAAAAAAAAGCCTTTGTTCCTTCAGGGGTTTTTTTATGAATTTATACTGTCTTTTAGTAAATCATTTTTGGAAACAGGGGTTGGTTTCCAGCTATGTCAAGCAAAAAGTTAGCTGTAAGATAAATATTTAGTCCCACCTCTTCACAGGTGAATTTTTGGAGATGAAGTAGCTTAGCAAATACAGTTGGTATGTAGATAATGACATCTTCTGAAACTTCTGTTTGTTGAAATGTGTTATCAAACCCTTTAAGTGTTTTTAGATGCTGCTAATATGAAGATTATCTGCTTTGTCAATACTGAAAACTAACTGTTCAATTGCAGGCATTTTTGGAACTTGCTACAGAAGAAGCAGCTATCACTATGGTTAATTACTACTCTGCTGTGACGCCTCATCTTCGTAACCAACCTATCTATATCCAGTATTCCAATCATAAAGAACTAAAGACTGATAACACACTTAACCAGGTATATTTACTGTGATGTAGTATTACAAATGCAGACAGTAAAAAATGAGGCATGGCATGTATTCTTGGCTCATGTGGCATATGTTTTTGTCCACATTCTAACACTATTGTAGTCTTACCTATGATCATTCCACTTTGTGACATTGAAGGGGATTTGCTTCCTGTGTGATCTTTCCATTACAATGAATTTTCTTAATGTTTCCTTAATGTAAAAAGAAAAAGATTCTTGAGCGTCTCTTAACTTTAATTTTTTCATAAGTTTTCATCTTAGTTTAGAGACTGTAGGATGAAAAAATGAACTTTCTTATTCTGACACCTGAGATCCTAATGCCAATTTGGATTTCCCTAGTGATAATGGTTAATGGCAATGCCTACGTTTCAGTGCTTTGAATGATCGATCTGGTAGCACTGGTAACCTCAGCTTATGTGATCATCTGTTCCTGGAGGGGAATACCTTAATGATCACTGTAGAGACAAATATACTTAATAACAAAAAAAAATGCTTTGCTCTTGCCTCTGCAGAACCTATTTCAAATTTTTAGTAGAACAGGAAAATTAGCAAAAGTAATATGGTGACCATTTCACACAAATTAGAGGGTTAAAAGAGACTTCAGCTTACCACAAGTCAGATGATTAAGGTTAATTAAGGTTAATTTCTTATGTTCTCTTTTTTGATGTTACAAAAGATAGTTGTAAATACCAAGTTAGATTCTGTTACTTGTGTCCTGTCTTGGGTAAGGTATGTAAATCATAAAATTGTAGCTGTTACCTTTAAAAACCATTTCAGGGTAATCTATTGAAAGATATCTTGGTTCAGTTCAAGTACAGTGGTGATTTTCCTGTTGATCTTTCTAAACATTCCAGTTCCTTAGAATCTTTTGATAGTTTGTCTGCTAAAGGTACTTTTTAAAAATTGAGGATTTTTTTTCCCAAAAAAATGCTACTTATAAAGAAAAGTAAATACCTTCATTTACTTTTTGAAAAGAGAGAATAGAAGATTAATCCTGTCTGCATATATAATGGATGGACATACTCATTTAAGAAGCTTTCTCTTCCATTGTCCTCTGGCTTCTGTGGTGATACTGTTTTTGTACTTCACGTGTCCATTTTTTCAACGTGCAGGATGTGCTGACTTTTCAGCAGCTTTTATACCACCGTATGCATGAATACCCAGTTTTAACATATTTCTACACTTTCAAGTCTCTATTTCTTTAATTTAGAGCTGAATAATATAAATAGGTATGTGGCAGTAAGTATTCTGTAACTAGTATCTCAAATTCATTTTGAAATTGTCTTTTTCTGGATGTTCAAGCAGGAAGGTATTAATTTTATAGCTTTTATCCTTATTTGTCAATTTTAAGTCCTGTGTTCCTTCATGTGTTCACATTAACTTTAGTGGAATGAAATATAATACATAAGCATAGATGGATAGTGCTAACAAGGGTTGTATGTTAAAATTTACTTCATAACTTTTGGTTCTTTGGGTTATAGAGTCTAAAATTTTCCAGTCACTTTAAGGAGTGAGTTTTAACTGATTGGTGCTTCGGTGCTTATAGAAGAAATAGGAAGTAATTATGCAACTCAGCCAAATATCTGGCCAGCTTGAAAGTTGTGTGTTTCATATATTAGGGAAAAAAAGAACATGTTGTCAAAAGATGTTTTTGCAGAGTTACAGTAATTAACGTTAAACGTAGAGGTAAATTTTGTTTTCCCAAGTAGTGTTCACCAGGTCTTTTTTTTTTTTTTCCCCCTACTTTCCTTACTCATTGATTCGTTTCAGTATGAGGAGTATCATGTAAGTTGAGACATGAAATTGTGTAGTAGTTCTAATACTTTTAAAATACGCAGTATGCGTTAATATGGTGGTTATTATTTTTACCTGGCATGCTCACTTGTCTCTGTTTTGTATTGTTTTGCTTCATAAGACTACTGTAACGAAAATATTAAATGGAAACCCTTTTTTCTGCACTTTTTCATTCTCAGAAAAAGACACCTAATCTTTCTGATACTGTCAGTTTTGGCAGTGGAAGTAGTTACATAGATGTGTGTTCTTGTGATGTCATTATGTGGTTACCTTTGAATTTCTAAAACCCTGCTTGTGTTTAAAAACCAAAAAATCCCTACACATGGAGAGGATTTTGTTTTTCTTTTTATGAAAGAGGCTGGATAACAGACATGGGTTTGTTTACCTCTGCGGATACTACTTTTTGACACTTAAAGTCTTGTACAGTATTTCATTGGGTTAAAAATGAGAAGTTAGGAAGGGATAATGCTACACTAACACTTCCAGTCAGAGCCTTCTACATAATGAAGATGGCAGTGCAAAGTTAACTGTAGTATGATGTCTTGAAAAATAGGATAAATACTTGTGGTTTCTGTAGGCTTGGGTTTTTTTGTTTGGTGTTTTTTTATTTGTTTGTTTTTTTCTGTAAAGGAAAGAAAAAAGTCTTTAAAGAGTCTTGAAACCTACAAAATCCTCTTTTTTTTTTTTTTCCCTTACTTGTAGAACAATAAGTTGGCTACTAGGAAGATTGATATTGGTGCCATTTGAAGCACCTCCTTAGTGTGGCATAAGGATTAATTGATGCTTTCATTTTTATTGTCTCTTCTCACAGAGTTGGACTGCATTGCACTTGTGTTATGTCTGTAGCTCTGAGTTTTAAATAAGTGGACTATTTTATGTTTCTGAAGTTAACTGTGTTAATATTGCTAATTAATTTCTAGCTATCATCTTGAAATATTAAAAAACCCTGTCTTGTGTCTTTTTTTTTTTTTTTTTTTTTTTAGCGGGCCCAAGCTCAGTGACGGCTGTGCAGGCAACAAACGCTCCCATTAGCGGGACCACAGTTAGTGAGAGTGCAGTGACTCCTGCTCAGAGTCCAGTACTTAGAATAATTATTGACAATATGTACTACCCAGTAACCCTGGATGTTCTTCATCAGGTAAGACAAATGTCATTTTAGCTTGAGCAATGATTGGGAAGAACATGTGTGTAAAACTTTACAATGTTTTTGGCAGATATTCTCTAAATTTGGTGCTGTGTTGAAGATAATCACGTTCACAAAGAATAACCAGTTTCAAGCTTTACTGCAGTATGGCGATCCAGTAAACGCACAGCAAGCAAAACTAGTAAGTATAGTTCTCTTTTAAGGCTGGAGACCTTCCTGTACTCTTAAGTGTTTGTAAAATGTTTATATAACAGGGTACTGACCATAATAATGTGTCATACTCCTCCACCACTTGTATGAATTTTTTGAGATTAAAAAAATAAATGGGAGTTATTATATAATGTTTTTATATTGTGTAAAATCAGTGTTTAAAGATACTACGTTTAAGGATACTATATTTAAAGAATTGTATACATCTATAATTATTAACAAATATTTTAATAAGACTGCACAGAGATGAAATAATGTGCAAGACTGCAATAGTGAAAATGTCAACTGGAAGTAAAACGTAGGATGTAATGTTGATGCTTAATTAATTCACTGTAAGCAGCAAATTTGGTAAACCCATTAGATTATTGTTAGTAGATACTTTCAAAACAAACGTGATTTTGGATTGGATATAGGTTTGTGAAAGTATTTAATTACAGTATCCTAAAAAAAAATCTGGCCTTCATTATAACCATAAATGCCCAGAAGAGAGAGTGCAGTCTTACTCATGGGACCAGACAATGAAAAAGCTTTGCAGCAGTAGCAGATGAGTGGAATCTTTCTTTTGTTTTATAGGAAACTCTCCTATCCTGGGTAGGAGAGGCAAGAGCAGGTCACTGGTTTTACTCACTCATTATAGCAGGAGAAAGCCTATGGATAAATTATGACAAAGATCAACAGCATGTTATCTAGACCAGATGTTTTGAATTAATTGAATGGATATGATCACATCTGTGGCAACAGGAAAGTTGAACCAAAGGGGAAGGCTAAATTTTTTTATTATTTTTTTTTCCAAGAGATAACTATAATGAATTTATATTTTCAAACCTTCATACACAGTCTGGGTTTATGGAAGGCTGATTAAAATTGATGTGCTGGTTAAGTGTTGCTTGGCAGCATAGAAAGTGCTTCTTGCCCATAGATGACAGAATAGTTGAGAACTTCAGGAAAAAGTGAAAAGCTCGCACCTTAGACTAAGTTGGCAATGGATATCGCTTAGTAAAGGAAAGAAAAAAATAGGCTTAGTTTTCTGTTGTAGAGAATGATGACTGTATTGAGATAGAGACCTTCATTAGGAGGAGGATTATCATTTTTATCCTCAACACCAAATGAAATACTGAGTATTGATTAAAAGCATGGGAGGTAGTCAAGAAAGGGAATCACAAAAAAGGAGACAAGTTTTCAAAAAGCAGAGCGTAAGTTTTCATGCTAGTGAGAAAAATAAAGTTAGCCAAAGACAAGAAGATTTGCAACTTGATTTATGATGATTAACTTTAAGATAATCTACTTCTGAAAAGCAGTCTGGAAATATTTGTAAATTTGGAGTGCAGTTTAAAGTAGGGATATCCTTTTCAGAGATGAATAATATCAAATATTAGATCATGCCTCAGAGTAGAGGGAGATCCAAATATGTTGCTGTAATACATAAAATTTTGCTTGGATGGGATACACCATTCAGGTTTTAAGTAGGTTTAAAATAGTCATACAGAAACTAAATCTTTAACCTACAATTACTGCAGAAATTGACTGTAGTAATTTAGATTCATATTTGAAATATTTGATAAACAGTTGGATAATGATGTGTTGCAGAATGTTATAATTCAGTCTTGATTTGTGTTTGGAAAGTTATTTTTCAGTAATAGATGTTAATGTTGCTTTTAAAGTGCATTTTTTGAAGCAAATATGACATCAAGTGATAAATTTTTTTACTTCATTTTTTGAGTTTTACACATACTATCAGAAGATTTAATGGAAAGATGGCATCTGTGAATTGGATTGTAGTGATTTGAAAATTATCAGTGTAATTCTAGGAATATATTATAAAGAAGGGACAAATTAACAAAAGGATGAGGTATGTAAAAGTATGAAAGGAACCTAAGAATCTCTTGCTGTTGTTGACTTTTGACAAACTGATATTAGCTTGTGGGATACTGTATTGGTCATTAAAAAAAAAAATAAGCGCATGTCTTTGTTTCTGCAGTTTTGCATGTTTTGATCAGGGTAGCTCTTCACTAGTGATAGCTAATGACTGAGCTGTGAATGACTAAGCTTCGTTGAATAACAGTGACTCCTGCACGTACAGTCATTGTCAGACTGATCTTGGAGCCTGTCTTAGTGACAAATTGAAACGGTCTTAGGTTTATAGTTTCATATTTTAATCTATACATAAATAGACAAAACGATAAGAGTAATACCAACTGCAAGTATTGAAGAATGCTAAATTTGAAGGAAGGTTTGATTTCCCCACTACTCTCCCAAGCTAAATAGATTAAAATAAGTACAGTTCTTATGTTTGGGCTACTGTGGTAAAACATGAAGTGCCACCAAAACAAAAATACCTAAGGGAAAGAAGCAGTCAGATGATAGGAAGAAACCCTCCAGTTTAAATACATCTGGAAATACAGTAGAAGCAAGAAGACGTGGTGGCTACACTTAAGTTGCATGGACTTCAAAATTAAAAGCATGGTAAAAGAGTAAAAGAAATTTTTCAATTGGTTTTCCATCCATTATTACTATAGAAGATAATGGGGAGATTTAATTTTCCACTGGCACTTTTCACAGGAAATCAGAATGTGGCCTTAATAGAAATTGAAGACTTATTAAGGAAGTTAAAGAGCAATTTGAAAAACTCAAGTGATTTAAGTACCAAGGAGAGATGCTATTCATTTGAAGGTTCTGAGAAAATAGAGACACTGACAAGAATGTACAATACAAAGTCTCTAGCCCTATGGGAACACTTTTGCTATTCGAATGAGCAAGTAGTGAAAAATTGCATACCTCCTCCACTTGCTTTGTGAGGAACTTATTTCCTATAAAAGTAGATTATGGCTACGCTGATTCATGTTTCATCACCACCCTCGGATTGGATCATTATGGTTCGTTATACTGACAAGTTAAAATGAAGATGACAAACTTCAGGTTCTGTGCAATGCAGCAGTCTTGCCATGGGTTGAAGAGAAGTCCTGAGAATGTGCAACAGCAGAGCACAGTGAACTACTGTGCTTCTCCTAATGAAATGGAAGGTGATGTCCTTGAGATGTCTGTACGCATAAGGAGATATTCTAAGCATCAAAAGTAGCTCATTTTCATAGTAAATAATCAGTACCCACAGCATAAGCAGCAAACTTCAAATATTTGAATATCAGTAATCTGGTATACCATAGAAAGATTAGAATGCCAGTGTTTCCATCTGAACAGCTGGCTAATCCCGAGTGTTGACTTTGTGTGCACCAAAAGTCCTCTTGCAGGATCTTGGATATTGACAGGGTTATTAATGCCTTGTCTATGAAGGATTAACTGTGACTCATACGTAGCGCTTGACAGTCATCTTGACCTAATGTAGGTTAAAAATATCACAAGTCTAATTGAGAATTTCTACTATAGTTGGCCATTTGGTCCTTACTTGGCCCATAGGTGATTCAGAGTATGTCTACAGAGGTTTTGTTGAAGTTCGACTGTAAATTCAGGATGTCTTCTTTACAGTTGTTTTGAGTGACAGCAGGGTGGCCCTGCACTGGTAGCAGTCTGTAAAAGATCTCTGCTAGGCTACATTACCCTAAAATCCGTAATAGGAACTTCAGGCAGTTGTTAGAATGGAAAGCAAGGACATTTCCAGATAAGATCTTTAGCTTCAGGGCAATTATCCATGATTTATTGCATTAAGAATTTTTGGGCATCTTGAATCCTAAAGAGCACAATTTCTTCTTGGAAATAAGTAGTGTTCAGGTAAACAGAAGAGTGCTGGATTGTATCTATTGTATCAGAAAAAAACCCAGGAAGTGCAGCAACAGTGTTTGTTTCCTGGATTTTCCAATTTTGTAGAAAAGAGTAAGATAGGCAACTGGTACTACAGTCAAGGAACTGCACGTTATTCAAAAACAAGATTTTTTTTTTAATAGAATGTGGTTTAGATACACTTTTTAGCCACAGAAACTTCTTATATCCAAGATACTTGTCTCAAATTAATTTCATTCAAATGCATGTCTGTAGGATGCACTTGGGACACATCTCTCCCAGGAGATACTTACTATTTACTGTTACACCCTTCAAAAAATACTTAGTTCCTCCTGCTTTGTGTGCTTTGGGAAGAGAAAGAAAGGGATTAAATTTCTCTCTTTTTTTTTCTCCTTATGAATTTGGAGAGACAGCAGTGTTTTGTTGTGTTTGCCCCTCCACTCTAATTTGGTTTTTCTTTATCAGACCTTGCTAAATGCTTTCAAGCTGTCCTCATGCTGCAAGAGATCTGTTTCCTGTCTTGGATCATCTTTGGTGCCTACAGTGCTTGACAAAGAGCGGCAGATACACTGTTGTGGCTTGAAGCCATGTGTCTCCAGAAATACCTGCTAGCTAAATCTCTGGGCTCTATTTCTGAACTGGGAAATGAGGATATCAAAACATCAAATCAGTTTCTGTCTTCCAAATGGTGTTCTTATCTGTCTTCTAGGTACTGTATGTGAATTAGGTAAAGAATATCGTAAGTGGCATATCCCTTTCTGATTTTAGAGGGCTACCTTGACAGTCTCCTGTAGGGACGTTTCACTCCACAGATCATGGTCTGTGCAGGCCTTGGGAGAAGCTCATCAAAGCATTATTCCTATGAACATAGCACTTTTCAAGGAACTCTTCTTTCACAAGGATTTTCAGGTATCTTGAACCCTGAAAGTAAAAGAAGATCAGTGAATTATATCCATTACACCAGAAAGCCCTCCATTCAGGTGAGCAAGGCCTGAGAGAAGAAATGATTCTGGGAATGATCTACCACTTCTGTCAACATCCACAATCACATTGGGAAAGCAGAGAGCCAAGTATCGTGATAGATACGTAGAAGTTCTTACTGTGCTTTTGCAGAGAAGCTTGTGTGTGGTTGATTACATCATCAGCAGGAGAAAATACTGTTTACTTTTTTCTTTTTTTCTATTGGAACAGTCTTGTGTCTCACCTGTTAATCTATGGGACCTTTTCTCAGCAGTTTTCATCTCTTCATCCTCCTGGTTGCTATGAGTAAAAAGAGAGTGGTTTGACATTATTTTTAAGAAATGAGAGCATATTGTGTTTTGTGGTGCAGACCTCCATTTCGTTGATATTCCCTGTATTGATCATTTTTGCTGTCTGTGACAGTCACAGCTCTCTGTTCTGGACCCTTATGACTTCCCAGGCTATTTCTGCTATTTTCTGTGTTGTTAGGCCTTGCCTGCTTATTCTTGCATTCAGTGAAAGGTGCTGCCTTGAGACATGAACAGATTTTGGATTGTAAATATAACTCTGGCTGTTAAGACCCTTTTAAAATATTTTGAATGTTTCTACGGTAGTAGTGGTCTAGGAATACTAGCTTCTTTACAGTCAACTCTGCTATTTTGGAACTTTAACTGGTATTGGGGATTGTGATTTTCTTTGTTTCTGGTTTGCTCCCTTTCTTAACTACCATAGATGATGTAGAGCCATGTAGCATGCTTTGCTGTTAGGTTGCATCTTTTGTTTATTTGTTTGGGGTGGGTTTTTTTGAGTTTGTTGTTTTGTTTAAGGTTTTTTTGGTGTGGTGGCTTTTTTTGTCTCCCAAAAGCAATCTAAGTGGCTGTGGAGAAACTTGTCGGATGATAGTGTGTTTGCACGGTGGAGTTACGATCATTGTGTTAGTTCAGGCATGTGCCTCTTTCCTTGGATTATGTGTCAGTCTGAATTCAGAAAGGGAGTTTTGTTTCTTCTTTTACCACTGTTTTCTATTGGTCTTCTCTGTATTCTGTGAGCAGTCTTGTCTGTGTGCTCCTAAATACCACAACATGTTTTCTCAGGAATCTGTCTGCTGACAAGCTCCTGGCAGGAGATGAGCCACTCATCAGAATCATTTTCCCCCTTGGGAAAGTACCCGAGAGGAGGGTGCTTTTTAGGAACCAGAGGGAGGGGCTTTAAAATGATTCAGTATCGTTATGTTTTTAGTATGGCATATTGACGTAAGTTTTGATACTTCTGTCGTTGAGTCTTAAGTAATGAGTTTGCTGGCACAGGCAAGATGAAGAATGATACATTTGTACAAGGGTCCCACAATACTTGATGTCCTTGATTTGGCATGTATGTGGTGTTTACTGTGTCACATGGAATGTATGTATAGATAAATGCTGAAAGAGAGATTTCTTAGCAGTAACTAGAGTTTTTTGAGATGATGTCTGTATGTATTCACTAACAGTATGGCTACTGTTTTCTCATTTTTTTCGGGATGTCCGAGACGAGCAAGTTTAGAGTGTTTGTTGCATGTTCTGTTATTGCCATATAAGAAGGAGCTCAGGCCACATACGTTCCTAGTTGTGACTTTACATGTGAATAGTTAATCTTGAAAAACCCTAGTTGCTGGTAATCTTTTTTTCTTTTTTTTTCTGTTGTTGGAGGTGTATGATGCTGCTGGTAGAGGTGGGTGGGGTGAGGTTTTTTTGGGTTTGGTTTGTTGCAAGGAGCCTTTCCCAGAGTGTGACTACAGTGCTCATTAAGAGTGCATCTGCTTCCTTTACTGGGTCAGGATGTTCTTTCAGACTGTCTGTGTCCCAACTACAAGGGATTTCTCTTGTGCAATATTCTTCTGTATGTACTTTTGTTCTCTTTGAATTTGTTAGAAGAAGGAGGTTTTGCTGTTGTGGTGTAAGTTTTAGTTACTTACGTGGCTCCCTTTAATATTGACTACTCTGGAAACTACACACACAGGTATATTTTGGTTTGCTACTTTTTAAGACTAAAAGATTTTCATCAACTTAGCTGTCTACCAGCCATAAATCAGTGTGCCTGCAGACTCCACACAGAGATACAGTACGAATCTTGATTGTGCTTTAAAGACTTAGAGCTTTGTGTTATGGTCCTGTGATTTGGACAAAGCTAAAGGATACTGCCTTTTGGTCTCATTTATACCTAGTTTTCTTCATTATGTGAATGGGTATTTCCTTGATGGCAATGGCATTGTCTTTGACAATAAGTAGCTCTCTTAATTTCATAGTTTTTGTTGTGTGATGTCTAGATTGTCAGGTTTCTATATTATTATTTTATTTTCTAGTAATACTGACTTATTCTTGTACATTGACTGCTAATGGTGGTAAAATGGTGGTAATTCTTTTAAGTGATTTCACAAGCCCTGGAGATGTCAGCTGTGATAATACATTTTGTAGGAAGGGGCAGCCTTGCTGGCCCAGACCTAGCAGGGGGGTGTCTGCAGGATGTTCCATTTCCAGATGCCTCACTGTATGAAAATAGCTATGTTGCTTCCTTACCCAGCAGGCACACCAGGTTCGTGCAGTGCTTGGCTCAAAATAGTAAGTTCTACCAGAACTTGAATGTGTTGGAAAGTGCATTGCAGATGTAACCGAGCTAGCTGTGCAAGAGTTAGCTCAGGTCTAGAAGTGTGACATTTCAGTCCAGCATTAGTCAAAAGAAACAAAAGGTCTTTATATTTGAAAGTGTGATTTTTTTTAATTAAATTTTTTTTTTACCACATGTATATAAGGTAGTTTTATATTTAACATGATGACTTGATTGAATGGATTAATTTTTAAGATGAGCTGTATCTTCACTTCCTAGCATTTCTTAAGAATATAAAAGTTTCCATTTTTTTAATCACTCATATTTAGCTGTTAGTGCTTCAAGTGAAGTGAAGGTGTGCCCAAAATGTAAATGGAATAAAATCCAGGTGTATCAGTTTGACTGATACGTAATGAAGATGAACAAAACATATATGACTAGGCCTTTTTAGAGAGTGTTTTCATAGAGTTCTAAGTGATGTCATGTTAACAGTTGATGTGAATTTTACTGTTCATTGGCATCCTTTCAGAAGTATCAATTCATTGTGAAAATAGCATTTTTTTTAAAAAAAGCATTGGTAACATTCGATGAGCAGATAAAGTTGCTTTGCTTTCAGTTTTGGTACTCATTACCTTTAATGGGACAAAGTAAACATGCAGGAACAGTGTAAATATTCTGCTTTAACAGATATCCATCTAACATGGTATTCAAGTTTAGATTTTTAAAATTTTTTTTCTCAGATCAGTTTTCCATGTAAAAGACTACTTTTATTCTGTGAGAAACTTATTTAGCCTTATGTCTGAATTAAAGCTGTACTATGGAATACAGGTTAACTAACTGTTATTCAACAGACTAACTTTTAAGTTTGAATTAAGATGTCTCTTGCCACTTTGCATAAACAGTTTCTGGGTAAGAAGTAAACATCAAGCTTCCTGGAATCATGTTAAGAGAGGTTAATGCATTTTAATCTTAATTGGTTTTAAGCTAGATGGTAAGGCAGATAAATGCTGACCTTGTGGGGGTTTTTTGTTGGTTGGTTTTGGTTTGTTTTGTTTTTAAAAAGTTGTGCAACCAACCTGTATTGTGCATTTTTAAAATAAATTGACTCCCTTTTCCAGGCCTTAGATGGTCAAAATATTTATAATGCTTGCTGTACCCTACGGATTGATTTTTCCAAATTGGTGAATTTGAATGTCAAGTACAACAACGATAAAAGCAGGGACTACACTCGTCCTGATCTTCCGTCTGGGGATGGACAGCCAGCGCTGGACCCAGCTATTGCTGCAGCATTTGCAAAGGAGACCTCTCTTCTAGGTATGATTCTGATGTTGTTCTTTCATATTGCAAAGTCCCTTGATGAAAATTTTTAATAATCCTTCTAACTATTAAAGATCTAAAATTGCAATAGCTTCCAAAGGCCCACTCAGGGTTCAGTCTATATTGTGGTCTGCGTTGTAGTAACACAATTATATTGTCATTAGAAGTGCTGCATAAATGAATGAGAGAATGCATGACAAAATGAGAAATGCACAAAGTATAAGGAAAAGTCAAGTTAGTTCTACATTTATTCCCAAATCTGTCCTCTCTTCTTTCATGTGTTCCTGCCAGCTGCTGCTGCCTACTTTGCCCACCCTCGCACCCGAGTTTCTAACAGAGACGTAACATGATTTGCATGTTTCATTCATGTTAATACTTATTTGTAGTATCAGATTATGAAATTAACATTTTGTTGGTTTCCTTCAATAAGGAAAGATTATGCTCTTAAAAAAAAAAAGATTTCATGCTTTGTTTTTTGTACAGGATGGGCCACTTGAAGTAGGTCAGACTTAATGTAGTAAAGAGGGATCTCCGCTCTCTGTGTGTTACAGAAGTTAGAAGGCGCTTAGTGAATGATTTGAGCTCAGGAAAAGGGTAAATATTGTAGTCAGGGCTACTGAATGCTGTGCTATATCACATTACTTGAAGGATATATTTTGTATCTAATTATAAATTCCCCACACACCCACCTCCCACAGATTTTGGAGTGCTTGCCTTCACATCCTCCAGTATGACTTGCAAAATGGTGTATCACTTGTAGCTATAGCAGAAGTTTTGGAAAGTGAAAAATACCATAAGAATCTAAAGTCTCTGAAGAACCTGTAGTTAAAGTTTACTTTCTTTTTTCCCTCTTTTAACTACCCATCGCTTAAAAATTGAAATCTCTCATTTCATGGATTGACAGGGAAGATAGATGAGTGCTTGTGAAGAAGTTTGACACCATAGAGATGAGGGCAGTAGAAATGCAGTTAGTAATTCTTTTGTCAGCACAGTATGACTAGAATGTAGACATGGGCCTGCAGTATGAGTAAGGAGACAAAAACAAAGTAGAAAAGGTGCTTATTAATATGAGAGCAATCATATTAGGTGTTGTAAGGCAGGGAGTTAAGAGAGGAGAGAGTTAAATATTCATGATTTATAAAACCGTGCCAAATGCAGCATTACCTATGTAACTGACGTTTTCTTGAATCCTGACAAGTTGATTTCCACCTTCCAACTTACATATTTGTTCGTATATAATGCTTATAGTATGCATCAAATTAACAGGTTTAATTTGCTTAGCCTAGTGGAATCGCACTCTGAGGGTGCTTGGATCATTGCATCACTCTGGGTACATTTAATGGTTGGGATTATTATACTTGTTATAGTTATCCAAGTGACAATGGCTTTAGCAGACTTTATGTTCTAGTGTTTTAGGCTTGGAAGTCACTTAGATGCTTTTGTAATTTTTGACTACAAAACTACGTAAGTTTTCTAACCTTTTGATTTTAATCAGACTCATTCTTTTGTGTATATTAAAGGTTTTTGCTAGTAAAATTATGAAGATGACAGTCATATTAGCTAATTAAATGTTTTAATTCTCACTCTCTGGATGGACCTCTTTAAATGCAGTTTTTCCAAGCAGCAGGAAAATAGAAGTTACACAACATAAGTAACTTTCATTGCAGCTGTGAAACATTTTCAGAGTATGAGTGAAGTCAGTCATGTTTATTTTAGTAAGTAGTGGGGATTATATATAGCATGGTTGATTTTTTTTTTTCTCTGTGAAAACATTCATTGTATTGAAAGAGACTTAAGGGAGTTGGGTCCATTTTCTAACTGCTCATGGCCAGTTGGGTGAGCTTGGTATATTGCAATTGCATCATCTGTCAAATGGGGATGATTATGCAGTGATCTCTTTGTTTTGTTTGGGGTTTGTGGATTTTTTAGTGTGGGGTTGTTTTTTTTTTCCCCAGTTGCCTTTTTTTTTTTTAAACAGAATTCAAGCTCTACAGCTGAAAATCTTTACAAAAAGGCTCCATAGTACTGTTGGTGCCTTAGCCATTTGGATAGTTTTCAAAATGGGAATGGTGCTTGTTTGAATATGGAAGAACAAGGTTGTCATTCTGGGCTGTCTTACTGTGCAAAAAGGTACAAAGTATCAGCGACATAAATGAGAAAGGACAAAGGATAGAAAAAAATTAAAAGACTAAATGGATACTTGTGCATGCAATTTATAGCTGAATTTTTATTGAGATACTCAAAAGTCAGAACACTTAAAAGTTCAGAGTTATAAGATGGAGGCTGGCAAACTATAATGTGTGAAATATGGCAGAGTGATAGCAGCAACCTTCCTCCTGCTTCTTTCTTTTCTCTTAATATTTTATTTAATTTTATTTGCTTTAGAATTCTTATTTCTGTAATGTTGATATATTCAGAGCATACTCAGTCAGGTTGTCTGCCATGCAGTATTCACAAAAGGCATCTTTCTTCATGAAAGAGTAAAGCTCTGTGTTGAGTTTAATGTGATGTTCTTTTGCATGCTCAAAAACAAGTTGAACCTGTGGCATTCTTGTTAAAATTCTTGCTGTAGCTGTTCTATCTATATAATGAGATCACTAACAGACAGTGTGGTTAGGCCTCAGTTCTGACTTTTAGCTTACATTATGCTCTTACATGCTGGATAGTTGTACTACTTGGGTGCCTTTTTGTTGTTGTTTTTGTAACAGTATACTGTAATTTATGTGTCAGATGTGAGGTTTAGGTTTAACATAATTTTGTGCATTGAGTTTTAGTGACAAGATGTGAGGCTTGTTAGTCTTAGTGTTGAAATCTGCATTAATACTAAACCATTACATATCTCAGTTTCCTTCTGGATGGAATTAACCCTCCTCTTCTGTAAATGTAACTTTATGATGTGGTGTAGTAACACTTGCAGCTTCATAAGCTGTTACGCAGAGTTTTTAAAAGAACCAACTATCTCCCCCAAACCTATTCAGGGTAAGTATAAGCAGCAGGCCAGTAACAAATAGAAAAAGTGGTGGTTAGTTGATATAAAGCCACAAAAAGGTTTCATAACAGGTCTAGGGCCTAAATCCAGTTCTCAGTCATAGTTATGCATACCTGCATTAAGATGCCTGCTCCTACTGCCTATGGTTTTCACCATGTATTTTTAGTGTAGTTCTAATATGGCTCTTACTAAAATGGCATTAGTGATTGGCATTTCAGAAGTCATGCAAAAGATACACTGAGGGGCAGTAAATAATGTTAACATGCTGTGTTTAAACTTCATTGAGGAGAAAGACCTAAAAAAGGCTAGGAAAAAAGGTGTATAATATTTGTATGTTTTCGTTCATAATATCCGGAAAAAGCAAAAATCTGTTATCTGTAATTGTTGGAAGCTAAAATAAAGCTAGTGACAGAGCTTTCTAATACTGGTTTATCATGCTGACAAAGTAGCTAACACTTCTAAATAATTTCAGCCAAGTCCTCAAATCTTAAACAGCGTGCTGCATGGTAACTATTAATCATAATACCAGTTGTTCTTATTTTTATTTATTAAAAAAATTTTACTTGCTTAAATCAGAATGGCAAATCAGGGTGCACTGGAGACCTACAGAGCAAGAATTGTGTTTTCTGTGGGTTTGTAATTTGGCCTTTCCAAGAAATGAGATCTGTGTGTGCTATGTAATCGGTTAGAAACATATCAATCAAGTAGATGATCCTTGCCTAGCCTGCATCATTACTCATTCATCTACTACATCCTCAGCTGTGATGAAACTAACGTGTCAGAAATCTTTGAGATTGTAAATTGGACATCTTTTCAATGAGTCTTGTTATCTTTTGAAAGAAGGAGAAAATCACTAATGGACAGAATAGGTTGGTTTCAAATGAATTATCAGAAGCAGATGGTTGATTTCTTTTTCTTTTCATTTTTTTCGCCCCACATATGAAAAGATATATACATTCTCCTTCCCTTCCCCCCTAAAAAAGTTACAGGAGATCTTACAGAAAAAAAAAAAAACCTTTTGAATAAACAACAACTGTAATATACTGAACCACAACAAACAAAAGATTTTAAATAAGAACTACTTGTAATTGCAAATACTAATATGTAATAATGCTTTAACTCCAGTTTAGATATTTGTGTAATATAGCTGGAAATACGTTGTTGTGGTTAGGGCACCCACAGCTTTATCCCTTGCTGTCATCACTACCTTTCTTTATTAGCACTTTCCACTAATGCTCCTTCTTAAGATTCTTACTAAATTAATTGGTTTCTAAGGATAACATTTGAAAATATTTTTGTATGAATGATGTTGAATTAATCTTTGTTTTTAATTTCTTCAGTGGGACCAAAGAATGTCATGCTATGAAGAATTTTGCCTTTTAGAGTATGAATTACTCAGCTGTGCTCTGCCCAACTATGGAAGGAGCCATAAAAACTTCACTAGTCATCCTTAGATTCCTTTACTCTTAAAAATGCTGGACCAGCTTAAAGCTTCTAAGGTTATGGAGAGGTGCTTAGACACTCTGGAAGATTTTAAATGCTCTAGTATCTTGACATTCTCTAATACCTAAATGATTGCTATTGACCTAGTATAAAATCTGTCACATTTCATGTGGGCATCTGTCATCCTTCACATTTCTATCTGTGTGACCTCTACAGTAGCTGAGTGTAAATAAATGTGATGTTCAGCATCTGTAATGCAAAGCACTCAAAAGTACATTTTCAAAATGATTTTTTTAGTTCACAACTGAATTTTTTAAAGTTGCTTGAGGAGTTTAATTTGATATTCACACGTTTCCCTGTGTCTTACAGTCTGACATTGGGAATAAACTTATTTTCTTCTTCCGCAGGGGTACTTTCTTTAACTGCATCCTATATTAATTGTTTTTTCTTGAAAGTAAAGCTATATTCTTCAGCCTTAACCCAAGAGCAAAACGTGTCATATTTATGTTGGATTTTTGTCTTGCTATTAATATACATAAGTATATAGTATTACACTTTCACACAAAATGGATTTTGAGAAACAAAATTGCTGTGCTTGGCCTAGCAGTGGTCCATCTAATTTCATAGCCTTTCTCTGACAGTTAGTGTTACTTCCGTCTTCTCTGAGGGAAGACCTAGCACAGCCCTCATAACGGATGATCATACGGTAGCATACCTAGGGGGGAGTGCTTTCCTAACCCCTCGGTAGCTTGTGCTTGGCATACCTGATCAAGCATATTATATGTCACTGTTGCCTGTTTAATGTAACTGGCAGTTGTTTCCATAGACCATTTAATACAATCTTAAATCCTGTTTTTGCAGGATGAAACAAAGACAAGATAGGGATTTTCCCCTCTTTTTTTGTGTTACAGTCAGTCCCACAAATACCACATATATACAATATAATGGTCATATTTGTTGCCTTTTGATTCAAGTAGATTTCAAGTAGATTTTCCTTCATCCCATCATGAGAGATGACTAGAATTGTCATTACTCAGAACTTTCTATTCCTCTGGTTTGACCCCGAATGCAAACATTTTTAATCTTTTAAAGTTTATCGGAAAGCATTCCATGTCTTTAATTTCATTTCTTAGAATACTTCCTGGTTTTATTCTGTATGTGCTTTGACCAGAAATGACCAGAAAATTTTCTTCAACGCTTAATCAGTAATACTGTTAAGCAGTATCGCAAAGTAGTGATGGATGTCCTGTTCCCTTTGAGGGAATTTGTCATTTGTCTAGCCCAGCAAAATCTCTCCTTTTTTTTTTTTTCTTTTTAAATTATTTGGTTTTCAAAAATTTGTGTAATAAAACACAAAGAATTGGAATGAAACTAGAAATCTTTTCTAGGAAAACAAAGAATGAAAAAAAAAAAGTAAGCTTGCTTACTCCCCCTCCTTCTGTCCCCGTTTGTGTTCCTTTTTGATACTAAATCCAGGATTATTCTTTTTTTTTTTTTTTTTTTTTTTTAATGGTTTAATATATTTACTATTATCTGCTTAATATTTGGGCATTGACTGAAATGGAAGAATTTCTTTTCTCTTATGACTTCCTTTAAAATAAAACTTAATGTGGCAAGGACAGTAGTCTTAGGTATATAGCATAAAGGTTATATTTAGACTGTCTATCTGACATACTGGAAGATGGGTCAAAAAGTTGTGTTAGCTTAGCATGATCATATAAGCATTAGAAATTTTGTAACAATACTGAAGTCTGAGAACCCACTTGCAGTAAAAGAAAATAAAATACTGAAATTGTATTTCTTTATTGTTTTTTACACATTTTGCTATGTCAGTGTCCTTTTACTGAACTCTGTAAAATGTGCAAATAAAATTTTGATCAAATACAATAAAGCTTTTATATAAACTATGTATAGTACCTAGTTACCCTGGTGACTTGACCAGGGAAGACCAGCAGATTTCTATAGGATGTGAGTTTCCTTGGAAGAAGAATAATAAAAGCACAGCTGAAGGTTTAGCTAAAGGTAATGTGCTTCTTCAGGGAATTGGATTACAGAAGCCACAGAGCATAATCAGTGGTGGTAGCTTGAATCTTGAAGTGAGAAGGTTACCTCCTCACCTCATTTATGCTAAGGCTGTGAGAGATACATAGGCCTTTTCACATGGCCAACTCCAGTGTTGCATATTTACTCTGAAGCATCAACTTGAAGGGAGGAACGCCTCTCAAAGGGTGATATAAAATAAGGATGTAATGATGCAGAGAGCACAATTAATGTTTCTTCTTACTGATCAACATTTACTTTCAACCATTTTGATAAACTAGATACTGGAAACATTTTAGAGTACAATGGAAACAGTTTTGGTTCACAAGAATGTTTATTTGAAAAATGTACTTTTTACACCTCCTCACTTCTTTGAAAACTTGATCTGAATCAAAAAAAATATTTCACATTTCCTTATGTTAATTTAACAACCCATTTCACAACCCTTTGGATGACTAATGGTGGAATGGTCTGCTTTGTAGAGGTTGTATGCAACACTTTTACTGATATAGGTATGTTTTTAAACGACTTGTGTGTGTTTCGTAAAATATGCTTTATTTTAAAATTAGGGCTTCCTGTTGCAGCTGTTCCAGGAGCACTGAGTCCTTTGGCTATTCCAAATGCTGCTGCTGCAGCTGCAGCTGCTGCTGCTGGCCGTGTGGGAATGCCTGGAGTTTCAGCTGGTGGCAATACAGTCCTCCTGGTTAGCAATTTAAATGAAGAGGTCAGTGAAACAATTATTTTACTTCCCCCCCCACCACCACCCTTTAGTCACACTTCATTTGTCAGTATTTTATAATTTCTTTGCATTTGGCCTCTTACATTCAGATTTTAAGCTCAGAGTATTTTTGCTGGTTTGTTTTGGTTTTTTTAATAATCGCCCAAAGTTAATTTTAAAGCCATTATTGCTAAATACTTTTGTTTTCCCAGGTAGCTAACAACTTAAAATGTCCTTTGATAGTCGGCTACCTATTTTTTCTAAGAAAAATGTGGTAACTACTGCATGTTTGACATTTGAATTGAAAGCTTTATTTTTACAAAATAGCCACTAAGCTTTCTTTTGCAATTATAATCATGTAAACTAGAATTTCTGTTTTGTTTCTTCTAATTGTTTGCTGTTTCATTTCATGCTTATATCTCACATTTTAAGGTCTTAATTTATGTGAACTACTCTAACACATTTTTCTTTGAAGGTTCTCCCAAAGATCTTGACCCGGCACTCTTCCAGTCTCTCTTAGTAATTTTTTTTCTTCGCAGTTACTCATTTGTCTTTAAAAAATAATAAAAAAATAGTGGCAAAGCATTTTCACCTTAACTGTACCTTTCTTGCTAACTCTGAAATGTAAAGGGGTTTATTTAGTTTTGCATTTTTACTGTCCTATACATTTATTTTGATGGCTGTGAAAGCTGGTATGAAATGTGGGAAGTTTGTATCAGTCTAGCTGTTCCATTTTTAACTGGCCTCTGTCACTGTAAATCATTGAGCTTTTTTTTATCATCTGGTACTATTTTGTCATCCACAGTCTTGCATGTTAAACTGTTTTAGATCAGAGTGCCATTTTGAAAGATTTTTGCCTGCATTTCATAACCAGCCATGCTTACGCAGTTAAAGTTCAAAGTTTAAAATTTCTATTGCATGCTTTTTTTTTAATTTATTTTCATGTTGAGATGAAATGCTGTAGTTTATTCTTGATATGAATGTACTTTACCCATATTTGTCTTGGGTGACTACATTTTACTCAGTTTTTCTTGTACAGTACATAAACCAACCATTTTCTGACCAAATTCCTGCATTTCCTATGTACTGACCTATATTTTATTTTTTTTTGTTCCCCACTTCCTTATTTTTTTTTCTTCTGCATTGCTGTATTCCCTTCCCCATTTCATCCTTTTCCCTTTGTGTTCAACTTCCCTCTCCTTGTCTTTACCCAAATTCCCATGCCCTTCCCTGTCTTACCCTTCTCCTCGTCTTTGTCTATGTTCCCTGTCTTCATTCCCTATGTTCATGCTTCTGTGCTTGAACAAAATGTTCCTCGGACCAACTTGCCCCAATTAACCGCCTTGAAACCATGATCCATGACCACCTCACCATTCTGCGGGAACCACCCTTCGTTATGGATGATCTGTTCATCTCCGAATCGACTCTTCTCTCTTCTTGTCTTACGCTGCTTGCTCTTCTCTCCTTCTAAAGATGGTTACGCCCCAAAGTCTGTTTACCCTCTTCGGTATGTTATTGTTAGCACTATACTTTTATTATTGATTTAATTTTGGTTTTTTTGTTTTGGTTTGTTTTGGTTTTTTTTTTGTTTCACCTTAATTCTTATTTGTAGCTAGCACTTTGGCTTAAAGTTGAATAGTAAATCTTTTTTGCTGTTTTTCTTTTGCTGTTTAAAACTCTCCATAGACACAAATTTTCTTTTAATGCATGCTAATATATTTTGCATGGTCTTTAATTTAATATCATTCACATAGCTTTGAGGGTTTATCAGAAATTATTCTTTTCAAAATTCACTATTCAAAAATCTTTATCTCCTTTATTCATTTGTGAGAGTGTTGAGTTTGAATGAGTGATCTTGTTGCTGTCTGAATGTTCCATTGATATGTCAAAATATATTATGTAGGTGACTGGCTTTAAAATGAACTTTCTCTTTTGGGTTACCTTTGGCTTTGAAAAGGTGTTTATGGTGATGTGCAGCGTGTGAAGATTTTATACAATAAGAAAGACAGTGCTCTTATACAGATGGCTGATGGAAACCAGTCACAGCTGGGTAAGATAGTTTTCTGTTTTTATTCCCATTAGACTAAGTACTTGAAATTATGGTGTGTAAAATCAGGTGAACTAAGCATGTTTACCTTTGTCAGTTTGTCTTGTACCCTGGTTACCCACAAGATCCAGAATCTTCCTTCATCTACTTGTATTCCAGAAGGTCTGTACAATGTCCTAAAGGAATTCAACAGCTGAATCACATGTGATAATCTTTAAATAAAATACTCATGCAGATTCTGCAGACCTAGTTCTTGATTCCAGTCTTCTAGCACATTGACCCTTTGATTTGCTTGGATTTTTTTTCCTTGTTTGCAGGGTTATGTGTGATGTACCACAAGCTATTGAAAAGTAACACTGAATTAAGTAAACATCTTCTCTTTTTCAGCCATGAGCCATCTTAATGGACAAAAAATGTATGGAAAGATTATTCGAGTTACCCTTTCTAAACATCAAACAGTACAACTACCTCGAGAGGGACTTGATGACCAAGGGCTGACTAAAGATTTTGGTAATTCACCTCTGCATCGCTTCAAGAAGCCTGGTTCAAAAAACTTTCAAAATATATTCCCTCCTTCTGCAACACTTCATCTGTCCAATATTCCGTAAGTGTTGGCTGTCAGTAAGCCAGTAGTACTAATGTGAATCACAACGTGCTGACTTGATTAATTATTTTTTGCTTATGCTTGTATTCTTTCTGTAGACCATCAGTAGCAGAAGAGGATCTACGCACATTGTTTGCTAACACTGGAGGCACTGTGAAAGCATTTAAATTTTTTCAGTAAGTAACTTTTCTGTACATAGCTTTAACAAAAGAGTACCTAAGCGCATTTTTGCGGGATGTCTTAAGGAAAAGTGCTGAAGGATAGCGCACATTAGGAGCACCCCCTGTAGTGTTCGAGTTCCTAATGCCATTATTTTGTTTCAGAAGAGATCACAAGATGGCACTTCTTCAGATGTCAACAGTAGAAGAAGCTATTCAGGCTTTGATTGATCTTCACAATTACAATCTTGGAGAAAATCACCATCTGAGAGTTTCTTTCTCTAAGTCAACTATTTAAAAAGGCAGATTGAAAACGAGGGTGTATTGCATTGTTTGGTGTTGTCACCTATTGACTGTTCAGGAAAGTGGGGACCAGAGTTTGTCTTCTGTTGGGTTTTTTTATTTTTTATTTCATGCTGTTATCATTCCTTGGTTGTTTTAAAAAAATGAAAAAAATTTTAAAAGCAGCAATACTAACTGCTGTTGTTCAACTGTTGTTTAGATAAACCATCATTTTGTTTAGAAGATTTCAAGTTAAACCACAGTTTTTCAACTTAGTTGACGTACGTGCCTTAAAAAGGAAAACTAGTACTGCTGGAATTGCATAACTAGTAGAAAGGAAATTTGGTTGTCTGGGGCACATTGTTACATGATAATTTAAATATGTTTAGGCAGGAGTGTGTAAAAAGGTTAAGCTTTTGTTTCTCCTGCTTGATAGATTTCTTTATCTGCTGGCTTGTCATTGGTTTTTTTTTAATTGGATGAGATGCATTATGCTGAGAGAGTAAAATGATACTATTTGATTTCTGCTACTTTTTGCTTTGTGCTTTTTTTTTATTAAAAAAGGCCTTTTGTGTTCCATGGTTCTGGTCTAGATTCAGTTATGAATGTAGGCATTAGTTAAAATTAACAAGGTACAGAATATTAATTTCTAAAAGGACAAAAAGTGACTTCCGTGACTTTGAGCCCTACGTGAAAAGCATTGTGGAATCTTAACCTTTTTGTACACACTCTTGTGGGATGTATCATATAAATGTCAGCACTAAGTAATGTCTTGTTTGTGGCTGAATATTTTTCGTAGATGTTTTTGAAGTTGACATGACTTATGTGCATTTCAATATATATTGCCATCTTTAGTTTGTAATTAAGATATGGAATATGGTTGTGGATTTCTGAGCATGTACAGACTGGTCAAGCTAGTTCAGGAAATGGTGCATGTATTTTTCAATGATGAAGAAAGTTTGCTGCAAATGCTTGCAGGAAATTTTGTGGCAGTTTTCTAAAACTGACAACCAGGTGGGACCAAAGTTTATGTGCCTTTAGTCTTAATTTACCTTGCATTGTAATATTCAGTTTTAATAAATCTCTTCAAAATATTTTGTATTTAGAAATTGATCTGACTTTGCTATAAACATGGCTCAGAATCTACAGATCCAGTTAATTTGAAAGCAGTTCTCTGTCAGTCTGAACTGTTACCTTGATTCTGTTTAAATGACCAATACTTTTTGAAATTGATGTACTTAGTTTCAAGATTCATAGATTCTGTTATCTATGTAGAGAAAAAAAAGGTCATGTATATTTTCTATTAGTTGAGTTTTTACATCTTTAGAATTGTAAAATTCAGTATAGTTTGAAAGTGGCACAATTAAAAATTAATTTTCTAACAAAGTTGGGAGGTTTGATGGTTGTTTAATTTCATTTTGTGTGTACTCTGCTTACCTCTGTAGCATGCTCAATAAACACTTCTGTAGCTCTGTATTCACCTTTTCTGTCTTTCTCTGCTGCTTTCTATCTCTCCTCTTCTTTGTTTTTCACTTCTACTGTGCTTCTGAATTCATGTTTATTCTCTGCCAGGGTGGGAAAAGCATAATATTAAAAAATACAATTTATGGCTTTTACCATAAATCTGATGCTGTGAAAAACACCAGCTCTTTTCATTCAGAAAGATAGTGACCCCTTTGCAGGTATATGTGCATATTAAACATTTCCCACCCTGTTATAACTTACTGCTTTAAAGACATAACTTTTATTGTAGTTTGTTAGCTCTCTCTTTCTATCTTTTTAGTTTTTAAGCAGATTTATGCACTAATAGATCTCTCAGGTTTGCCATGCTCTCTTGCTGCAGTTTCATCTTTCATTTTTTTTGTGTCTGCTAAAGATTTTCTACTAATCATACAGTATACTCATGGGTTAAAGTAACAAAGTTTTGAAGATTAGATTAGTGGACCATACATATTCCGGACCAGGATGTTTCACCTGCTCAGAGACATGGGTTCAAATGAATGTAAAACCAGTTTGGGCACTTTAATAGTGTTTTTTCATATTACTTGGAACTGATTTTTATGGGGTTTTATCCCCTCAAATTAGAAATAGGATTAAAACTTTTACACAGTCCCTTTTTAAGAGTAACTGTATGATCCTAAAGCATTACATTGGTATAAGCTGTCAGTGTTCAATTCGAAGCATTTTTCTGTCACTCCTCTAGTACGACTACTGTGGATTTATTGATGTCAGATTACTTTGTGACCTGATGTCTTTTCTTTGGGTTGGCTTTCAAATCAATAAATAGCTATCAGCTTTTTTAAAGGTCATGGTATAACATAGGGGGCTTGCATTAAATAAAATGCATTAGGTTCTTACCTGTTTTATCAGAAATACACCCAAGAAGGTATATTCCAGGTATCACAGTGATCACCCAGTCTGAAAGGCTAGTAGAATCAGATTCATCCACACTGAAACCTGAGAATCAACATCTTTTTACAACTCAGGCACCCAGATGCATTCATGTCACTGTTTCCCAACTGACTTAACAGTAGTTAAGGGTCTGACTGAGCTGATTTTTTTTAAATTTTTCATATATATAGTATGGTTGTCCCATATTTTTAAAAGTAGAACTGTGTCAGATTTCCTTTTGCATATCAGAATGTGCTTGCACGTTTCAAACAGAAATGTGAATTGAAATTTACCATTCCGTGGGTTCAGCTTGTGCCGAACTATTTCCACTCTAATACATCTGTATCAGATAGCATACAGTGATTGCCATATGTATGCTTTTGAAATAACTTTCAACATCTGCAGTGCTTGAGTGTTTACAAATACAGCGGTTTTGTAAAACTATATCTTGTTCATCTCTTGCCAGGCTTATTTCCTTAAAAAGAAGTTTCTATACTACTTTTCTTATTTTGAAAAGTTCTGTGGCAAGAGCCTCAAGGGAAAGAATATGTATTGAATTTGATTTGTTATAAATTCAGTAACTTTTATTATGAGGTTATATTTGTATCAGCCAAAATTAAAAGTAATAGTAGTCAGAATTGACGTGGAAGGGTTTTTTATTAACTCAATGAAGAAAATCACTGTTCAGTTATTGATGCTTAGTCTTTAAAGTGGTATCTCTTCAGAAAATACAGGTTTAATGTCCTCACTGTTAGAACTTTCAAAAACTTGTTTTTCTTGAGATAGTACTGCATTTTGTATAGTAATTTGTACATTTTTGTTGTTATAAAATGTAAATAAGTTTCTGTTGTATTTTTAGCTCTTCAGAATGTGAAAATGCAAAGCATCATTTTTATTAAAATTTTACTAAAAATAAGGTTTATGAATAACTTCTTACACTCCATGGAATGTGAGTTTTCAGATTATGTGAGTAGAACTTTACCATGGGCATGTTGATACTCCAAACTCAATTTCAGATTTTGAAAATAATTCTAGTATTTTGACGGAAGGCAGTTGCTGATTTTTTTTTTCTTTGTGAATTGTTAGATTTTTCTCTAATGGAGCAATGAAATTGGTTGGAGAAGTCAAAAAATGAATCTTTGATCAGGTAATGTCCACTGGCAAATATGTTATGTAAATGAAGTAAACCAATTTCATACCCTCATTTACTCCAGATAATCTGTCTAATTCTATGTTTAGATAATAAAATAGTTCTGTTGAAACACCAGAAAAAAAGATAGGAATTACGTCTTTCTCTGCAAACAGGTATATAAATTCACTAGTCCATCTCAGGAAATGGTTTTCCCAGTATTAGATATTTTACAGTGAGAAAGGCTTCTTAAAAAGATTTGATTGTGTTAGGTATGGATGAGGTGGAATTCTGTATCTATTAGTCCGTATTTTATTCCAGAGACTGAGACAACCTAAAGTTCGGAGTTTTCCTGAGGTGAACAAATTTTCTTTTAAATTATTTGGCAAAATGTCCCATCTCCTGCAGTCCTGACCTGTGTAGAAAGGGCTATGTAAGTTGTGAATGTGGTCAAGATTGTCTGTGAAGATTTTTCATTTGAAGGTTTTCCCAGGTCTTGGCCGTGCAACATCTGCAGTATTTCTTGCCTTCCTGGTCTCTTGGGGAGTAGCTGCGGCCTGCTAGTGCGGTTCTCATCTGCACAGGGGATAAGGAGAGAGACTGATTTTTCTGAAACAGTGGGATTTGGCATGCTATTTTCTACTTAATGGGCCTTGGTAAGGTTAATCAATGGACTGCAGTTACCTAACTGTAGGGAATGATAATCTATTATAAATTATTCTGTTAGTCCACAAATAGCTTGCTAGAACCAGTGACGAGGTTCCTGCCTTCCTGAGGAATTGCATGCCACAATAATGAAGCTTTAGAGAATTTAACTTTTTTTTCTTTTAATGGAAGAGTTCATTTAGAATTATTTAATCTGAGTGTCTTGAGCTTTGAAAATCTCTGTGGTACACCTACACAAATGCGCATTTGGTCTTTTCAGGATGGTTAATAAAAGATTGGTGAGTACCTGCTTCACCTTAAAAAATGTCATTTCTACTGCATGATACACCTTTGTTGTAATTTTCTGAGTTTACTGAACTTTCCCCTGATCAACAAACCAAATTGGGAAGAGGATTGTGTTGCTTTGGTTTTCTCCCTTCGAAGTTTACAGCATGTAATGTCTAAATGTATTCTTTCTGGGTTAGTTCTCCATGCAGGCCACAAAGGAAAAGCAAAGAACTTTTCTTCCTCAGGAAAATGTGAATTAAATGTGAATTGGCTTAAATATCTCAAAAGAAAATTAGCTCAAAATAGCACTCCTATTATTGTGAAGGGTTCTGCATGTTTTATGAGTTTTAGCCTAGTTTTATATAGAAATGAGGCTGGCATAATTGCCCAGTCTCCATGTGAATGTTCTGTTCCCTCAATAACCCCTGTCTCCTCCCTGTTGCTCCTGTACCCTTTGGCTGGCCTCCTGTCAGACAGAGGGTATGGAGGTCTCAAATACTAAGGTGTTACTGTTTCTGTGCTCTTGGTTAGTTGGCTTGCTAGGTCAAAGCCCTTACTTCCAGTGCTATGGGAAAGGGAAGGAAAAAACCTGCTGTCTTCGCTTTGTTTTGGCAGGAATTACCTCAGTGCCACGCACGTGGTTCTCTAACAGCCCGCAGACGTGAAGGGGCCTGGGGATGCGGGGGGGGGAGTGCATGAGAAATGAGAGGGAAGGGGTGTTTTGCAGCAGGAGCAGTATTGGATGGAGGAGCGTTGAGGGAGTTTCAGTAGGTTTCTTAAAGTTTTCGTGCATAAATAACCCTTAACAATTGTTGGTAAGGGGAGAGTTACTGGTTGAATTATTTTCTGGGATTGTTTACAAACAAGTCTGGTCAAAATCAGTACAGCTGATGAGGTAAATGTGATCCCTTTTCACATCTGCTCAACAGTTTCTGAGGTGTCAGAGCTTAGCAATTGCATGCAGACTGCTGTAGAACCTGGTTTTTCCAGGATGAGTGCTGATCATCCCTGGAAGCCAGCGAGGCTGAAAGCCTGAAGCTTCTAGCCCTAGGATAGGCTGCATGTCAGGGTAGTTCAGGATGATTGACACTGATGGCTTGCCAAAGAGCTAGATAAAGCGAGCTAGCAGGATCTAGTAAGAGATTTGTTAGAAGAGCCATCAAAAGTGACACATGTTGAGGAACTGACTTTTTTGATGAAAAAATATCTACTGTAAAATTCCTGACCATCTGTATTTCATGGAATGGTGCTCCAGTATCCTTTGGGCTGACCATCCCCTTTAGTACCTTAAAGCCCTGGGCTTACCTCTTGCAGCATCTTTTGAAGATTTCAGTTGTGTAGCTGAAAAGCTGGACTGGTCTGCTCTTTGCTGAAGCAGGAGAGGTTTCTTGGCAGCTGCGCCTGACAAGCACCAGTGATTTGCTGCACGTGGTAGGACACCAGCCTTGCTGCTGCCTTAAAGCATTGACAGGCCTCAGCTAGTAAATAGCCACAGTGCTGTGCCAACAAAATACTCTCTTCAGCTTGCTGGGCTTTGTTGTTTGAACATTAACCTTCAGGTACTGACTTTAAGGTAATTTGGTACATTTTTTGTGAACTAGGGTTGTGTTTCAAAGCGTGAGGACTTTTTCTTTCTTTTCCCCTCTCTTTTGAGAGAGAGAGAGAGAGAGATTTCCTGTTGATGTTTATAGAAAACAGACCAGAGGTCACGTCCGCTTCCCAGTTCTCAAGAAAATTCTGGTAAACCTTAACCATTTTGGGCAGAGCTTTGTCTAACCTGTTCTTTAAACTCTGAAGACAGAAGTCGCACAACTTCTGTAATCAGTCTGCATCAGTGCTTTGCTATGCTTACTGTTAGACCATGGGGGGGGGGGAATTCTTGACCTAAATCTCTTGCTGTAACTTAAGCCCACTTTGGTTTTTAGAAAGTGAT